TGACTTTGATCTCATGGTTTTTGGGGATTTTGGTTTCCCAAGAAACCGTAAGCTCTATATGTATAAGCACAACGCGCTTTAAAATTCGCGAATATAAAAACATGTATGGTTTGGAGGCCGACGCACAAATATACTCGGGGATTTTGTATTGTTTTTTATACGTATTCATCATTATAGTCCCATCCGGAGCCGCTTTAAGGATGGTGTAAGGCTTAACGTTTTATTTTATAGCCCTTTTCTCTCACAAAACCTACTGATCGATCGCTTGTGGTTATTATCCTTTTAGCTAGTTAGCTCTGGCTACCGAAAGACTATCCGCTTCACGTATGATTTCTAGAACCCTATCGTGACTCGTATCGTTCCAACTGCCTTTCCACAGATATTGCAATTTACCCCCCACCTTATATATATATAATTACACCGTACAATCTATAGTTTTATTTTATTACGTGTCAGACACGGCGTAAGTCATGTAAGCGCTTTGTATATAGGGTGGAACAAATGAATGGGACACGGACGGAAAATACCTCTACAATATTTTGTATTTTGTAGAATTAGTATCACGGATGACTAAGAAGTGATAAAACGTCACGGTTGTGAAAACGTTTCAGGAATTATTGTTATATTATAATTAATTAATATTTTATTAAGAATTAAAACAGAGTGGTAAAGGGATTTTTTAAAGTCAAGGTTTTTTCTATTCTATAATCAATAACCAGTCCCTAATAAATTTGTGGAAATATTTATTATCGGAAGTGTCAATATCTTAATCCAATAAATACAAAATTTAAAATAATAAATTAAATTAAACCGTCTGTTTGTAATTTCGTCTACGCAAAAGATCAACATGTAAGATGTAGATTGTAGATGTAGATATAGATTTATATAAAAATCGGAAAAATCTACATTGCGTCAATAACTCACGTGGTTATGAAACATAGATATGATAGGATAAGTGCAATCTAAAAGAAATAAATAAATTCTATCTACAATAAAACTTTTAATATACAATGTAGAGAAAAAATCTAGAAGATTAATTGATAGAGAAATTTCTAGAAAATACATAAGTAATTTATAAACATAAACGTCGCTTTCTATTGAAGTGTTTTTTAAATTTATATAATATATAAAAGCATTAAAAAGTTTTCTTCCTTATAGACTATAATTGTTATGTTTTTGTAAGAGATTATGTTTATCTTGAAATAAAATTTTGCATCATCATCTAATTAATAAAATTTTGACGTTTATTTATTGTATCATTTACATTTTATCATTAATGTTTTAGTTGATAAAAACACTAATATGGTATAACATTAAAAAAATGTTATAATATTTTATTCCTATTATAGTATCCGGAATATGTAAGTAATTTAAATTTAGTTCATTTTTCATTTCAATAAGCAACTCATAGTTTACTAGAGATAAAGATTATTATACATATAAATAATTAGAATTCAATCCATCTCACTTCATTTGAGGTCAACGTCCGTTCAAGTTTTCGGCGTCGTTGTTATATAACGTAAGGATCAAGCTTCAAGATACTCAGGTACACTTCCACTGACTGCGGTTATAAAAAACTTTTGAATACCATTTATTTAGTAGTCATAATTCAAGCTATTTACAAATACAAGATAATAAGAAATTTATTTCACGAATAAGTTTTTTAAGTGCAAAATACATTGTTACAATGTTATAAGTTGATAGAACAAATACTTTATACTTGTATAAAATAATCAACATCTTGATGTAGAATCATGATAACATAAAAATGCTGATTGACTTAATCAGCAACGGTATATGGGTCAAGGTGCAGTGATTGCTCTTCGATTCTGATATCTGCAAATACATAGTAAGTATATATTCTTAGATTTATATGAGAATATTTCTATATCTGTAATATTTATAAAATCTGTCCTTCTACGGATACGTGTTTATAATTTACTAGAAGACCTGGCGAACTTCGTATCGCCCTATAATCAAGAAATATCTATTACGTTTTTTTATTTATATTTTTGGAGTTTACCTGTAAGCCATAAATCTCCGTGTTTTGAAGTGCGACAGAATGATTGACATATTAGTTAGTTGTCCAATCTAATGTCAAAAAAAACGTTTGTATGGGAAATAGAAAAGGGCTGTTTTTATGGTTTTCCCAGTAATGAATCAATTTTTCTCAGCTTTTATACCTTCCCTGAACCTCCACGAACATTTCAAGACTAAGATAAGATAAATCCGTTCAGCTGTTCTTGAGTTTTAGCGAGACTAAGGAACAGCAATCCATTTTTATATATATAGAAGATAACAAAAATATCTAGTTGTACAAGATTGGACAGATATACCTACCCTATATTAATTAATTTGTTGTCTTTTTAGATTTAAGTTTCAATTATTTTGAATGAGCTTGCGAATCGTAACTTGCAATACAATAAATAAATATAGTTTAAAAATCTGTTTTCATATAGTATCAGTTTTCAAATAGAACTGTAAAAGAAATATAATGCATTTCTGAGGACTTGCAGTAAAATACAAATAGACAATAGATTTCCTTACATATGTAAGAACAAATTGTTAATAATTTAATAAAATTATTATTTTCGGATGTTTTACCGTTATCACGGTTATTGCAAAGTAGCCGAAACGGAGAGGGAGGAGTATGTAGTCTAAAGTATTCAAAAACTCGCGAAAATATTTATTTTATCGTTACGTAAAAACTAACATTTAAAAAAGAAATGTGATGCACTAAATATAACTCATCTCTTAATGGATGTCTGTAGGTAAAACACTTTTAATAAAGAAAACGACTACAGAAAATGCGTCATAGTTAACTATGTATATGTAAAAAGGAGAAAAAAAGAGTTATACTCAAAAGCAAGAAGAAATTGAATGATAAACACTTAATATATACAAAACCATTAGTAGCTTTACCATTTGTATTATCTAACTAAACACAGAAAGTCTGAAAGTTTTTATAAGTAAAGTAATTACAGAATCACGTAAGCACGGAAAAATACGGAGAGTTAACAGTTTTCTATTCATAAATCATCGAGCATTATAATATTAACGTAGGTTATTGAATGAGACACAGGCAATACTTCCCACGTAGTGTCACAAAGCAAACTAATTTCGTGAAAACTCATTACTTCATATTTAAAACCCTTTAAATTACAAGCAAGCAAATTCGTCACTTGTACTTTATCGCGGATAGAGGCTTGTTTTTTTTTCATTTATATATTCTTGGTATTTTTATGCAATTTCACACAATTATGGTTATATTACATCACATTACAACAGATAAGATTGCATTATTTTAACATATTTTTTTTATAATAAGTCATAAGTGTTAATATGTAATCCCTGAGTTAAGTGATGGAATAAAATTTCGGTAAAAGATGAGAATAAGTGTAATATAATAGGTACGATTTAGAAAATAAAATACGGTATTATGTAATGTGTTCTAATAGAACTTTCAGTGTAGTACAGAAGTAGGAGTTCATTTACAGTTATGGAAGCAAACCCATTGAACGGATAAGTCTTTATTTAAGCAAAAGACGACGAGAAAACCAGGACTTCTGAGCATTCCATATAATCACCGTGCGGGTGCCGGTTTAACGTGCCTTAAAATTTCCGAATACAGAAATATGTCTTATCTTGGTTTAAATATCCTCTGGGATTCTATATTGCCTCTCATACATATCAATCATTGTAGTTCAATCAGGAGCCGCAAGGAGAGAGTAAGGCTTGACATTTAATTTTATAGCCCTCGTTCATTTTTTCACAAAACCTATTGATCGCTTGTATGTTTTTGATTTCTCGTATTTTACTCTGCGCTCATGCTACCGAAAGACTCACCGCTTCACCTTTGACTTCTACAACCCTGTCGTGGCGACGCAAGTATCGACCGCTATCCAGGATTACCTTATATCCCGATAGCAAATGCTTAGCAGTTCCAACTGCCTTCCGGCAGAAATAGCAATTTTTTTCGGTACCTTTACGCCATCTTACTACAAAAATGTTAAAACATTAATCTTCTCTGAAACTGTCATTGCTGCATCGTTATATAAGTTTACACTCATTATAAAAGTGTTTAAAAGATTTTATCAGTTGTTCAACTGATTTAGATTTTTTTATAATTATGTTTGCCTGTTTGTCTATCGGTTACATCATAGTTCTCAAATAGATGGACTGATTTTATTTTGATTTATATCATTTGAATCAAATTTCACTATCAATATGGGTTGAATCTTTATTAAGCGTTGTAATTGTATCAGCTGTTTTCCAAATAATATAAACTATTCCTATCCCATGAAAACGCGATTAAGTGCATTACGAATACACGTAAATCGTGAAATAGCAATTAATTAGTGGGGTTTTTATAAGGTCATATAATTTTGTTATTGATTTAATACAAAAGAAGCATCATAAATAATATGTATAAATTATAACAACGTGGTCACCATCTTTTGTCTGATGTTTTACTTTTATTTACTTGAACCAATGCGACAATAACACCGTCAAGGTATAAAAGCGATTGTATAAATAAGACACAGTATATATTATCTGTGAAAAATTTAAGATTCAACTTTTGACGATCGACATGACCTCGAGTAACACGTGCTCGCCATTCGTATAAAGTCACGTGGGCTGAGCGTGATATTTTTTATATTTCGTACTAAATAATGTTATATTATGTCAATATGTGCAAATTATATTTATTCAAGAGTTGTGAATAAAATGTTTCAATTCTCTATAGATTTATAAAAATACTGCCTAGTTACGCTATGTGAAATGGTATGCATTGTAATTATATTGAATGTTATCGGTACTGTACATTGACCTAATGCTATTTTTGTATTAATAATATTAACAAACAACAAAACACAATAAAATTCATCGTCCAGTGCATTATAGTTGACCCTTTAAAAAAAAAACGATGACGAATGTTATATTTGTAGTGTATAAATATATTTATTATTGTTTCAGACAAATAGGTGACAAAGGCTAAAATGACTGTGGAGAAGAGTAAAGGTATGGAGAAGAAGGCGCCGGCCACGAGGAAGGTGGCACCAGACGGAGGCTGGGCTTGGATGGTGTGTTTAGGTGTTAGTTTAGTTAATGTGAGTAAAAATATTTACTTATATATTACAATAATCTCTCCTTAGCTTTACAGTTATTCAATATTTCATAAACATGTAAGTTGAATGCTTTTTTCAAACGTCAAAAGCAAGTCGTTACTTGCTATGTGTCTTCTCAGAGTAACTTTTTTCAAACTGCAAGGAAAAACTATGAAATCTCAATCCATAATTATATTTATTGTTACTCAAGAAACATGTTTACTACTTCGTTGGTTCAAAAGAATATATTTTTTGTGTGTCACAAAAAGTATGACATCAAATAGATTATATAACTCGGAGTTAAGTTACGATGTCACGGCTCATTAAGCACCCCACGATGTTTGGTCACAAATACAGCTTTCGGATTACAATTCCGGAGACTTCATCAAGTGGAACCCGAGAAAATATTGACATACAGATACACGGCGGCTGTTTTTATATATAACAAGAAGTAATAATTTGTCATCGCAGATTATATTGAAGTTTCTCTGATGACCAGTCTAACTAAAAATCAATCGTATAAGTCTCGAGTCTGGACTATTCTAGCGTTGTAACGAATTTAAATACAACGTTAGCTATATGTATTTATAAATGGATTTGCCTCGATTAACATTTTAAACTTTTCTTATCGGCTTGTGTTCGTGCCAAAACAAAAATTGTTTTTGAAAATCTGTTCAAAATTTCTAAACGAAATGATATAGAAACAGATTAAACAGTTGTTTTGTATTGAGATTGAATAAATTCATATAAAATTTTTGAACAAGAAATTTAATTACTGTTTTTCTTTATTTTCTGTCCCGTTAACAATAAAATTGATTTTTGTCGAGAAGTGAGATCTATGGCGATTAATTCGTCTTACCAGAGCTATCATATTTTTAATGTTTTTTTCCTTACAACTGACCATCCGTTCTTTGCAGCTACAAAGTTTATTGTCCCAATATATGTTCGTCCCTCTCAGACTGTCTTGTATTTGTACAGCGATGACACGAAGCACTTATAAGGTGCGGAATCTTCCAAGAATTTTGATTAAAGCTGACATTATGCACAAACAGTTTTATAATTCTTCTGTAGTGTATAGGTATATGTTCTTACAGTTTATTCTACAGAATTGTTTTATTTTGAACTTATTACTTATTTATTGAAACAGTAAACATATATGTATATGTAATTATAACATTAATTATGACTCCAATATTCTTATATCCTTAAAAGTTAAAGACGTCTTTGTAGCTTTTTTATTTGAATCGTTCGCGTGTCAATTCCTTTAATAAGTTTTTGTGCTTTTATGATCCCAGAATATAAAATGAGTTATTTAAAATAAAAATAATCATGTTTCTGTAGAGACAACTCTACAAGCAAGAGAGATCAAAGTGCAAAGCATGTATACATAGTTATAGAATGGATTAAAGTAATTGAAAGTAATTTATTTTTATTATTAAACATGAACAACCTTGTAAACTAAGTTAGAGCTTGTAAATAAATACACACGTTTCGATTTGGTTAAGCGAACTTTCTTTACTCATATTGTAGGCCAAAGTACGATAGCGAATCAGAAAAAAATACATACTCAATAACTTCTACTCAATTTATAGAAAATATTTATATTAAAAATATCTGACTCAATGATACAGATGGTGCAAAACTGCATTTTATTTGTAATATCAGAATATTGTATTCGCCGAATAATATTATTATTTACTAATACTATCTTGTTTCGTTGGCTGTACTATTTGACACGGGCCCGATGTCAATGAACCCGCAAAACAAAATGTTTTACTTGTTGTCAGCCAGATGAGTCATTACGCCTGTAACCGCTGATCGTATTGTATATTAATTCCGGTTTCATTGTTTTATAAAGATTCCACAAAATTTCTTTGTTAATACTCTCCGAAATTAATTTAAATTGAATGATCCATAATTTTCAAGAAGTCATTCAATATAATTTGTGCACCTTCGTCTGTAAATGCAAAGAAAACAAAAACAAATGAATAGTAACATTAATTTAAACAAAAAGAATTTTTCAAGATTTAATTGTCATACGTATTAAAAAAATATATTAATGTATTTAAGTTTTATATAAATATGTACATATGTAAAATCTGGATGCCGTTATACCTAAATGTAAATTAAATCTACGAAGACTTTCTTTTCATACTGCAATGAAAGTAGTACTTAGATGTAAAACAATCAAAATGTCGGATTAATAAATGCAAATGATATACTTGAATTATGTTTTGTTTTAAATGAACCTTTCAAAATATTAAATTTAATTCCTTCTAAATGTATACATAGATATATTTGTATGTTTATTTGTGTTGTGCTTGCGTGTTCCTTATGAGTAATAATCAACATTTCTTAACTGTCCGCTGTCGTGTCACATGCTTATTGCGACACTACAAATGTAAGACACTATTGTGTTGTGGCTCCTAATAAAACGTTTCTTTTGTTTCTACCAAGAAACCGAGTAAACTATTACGGTGACCTTGAACATATTTTCGTTGCTTAAGATACTAATGCATAGTATTCTTATGTTAACAAAAATGATTTGAGCTAAAGTTTGTCCATCATATGTTTATACAAATTGGAATAATATTTCAATATCCCAGCATCTGTTATAGATAAAACATTGCGTTATTTATAAATAAAATCAGACTGCAACTAACAGAATCCAGTAAATTATTATAAATAATAATTATGTTTTTTAAATGACAATCGTATTAGAAATATCTAAAACGTTATAAAAATAATAACATTTTTCAGTTTAACTTACGAGCACTCGGTATAAAAATGTACTATCAACATACAATGTAATAGTTATGTTTTCTTTATATGTAAGGATTTATAAATGAAAGCTTTACGACATCGATTTTATCGTACAAATTTATATTGTGCTCCTGAATTAAATGTCGTGTAGATTGTGTGGTGGCTTTAAATTTGATTGCCACATGTGCTACACAATTGACAATAAAAAGTAGAACTTACTCGTTCCTATTTTATTGCTTACAATCAAATAACAGTATTATACCCAAACTTGTGACAATACTGTTATTATGATTATGACGTCATTAATAAAACATTTAAAATACGTTACATGTGTGAAATATTTTGTCATTTTTGTGTATTGAATTGAATAGATTGTTGAACAAAGACATACATTAAAATTAGCTGAAAGTAGTGAAGGTATATTTTGAATGACCTTTAAATAAATTTCTTTAGTTGCTAGCAAGGGCACCCACATAGACCTTTGCATATTAAGCAATATCGCCCATTAAGGTACAGTCACGTAGCTACTATATATAATGTTTTATACAAAATTATGTTTTGTTAAAAACAAAAACACTAATAATTAATTGATATTCAATGTCTTATAGGTCGATGTTTAAATTTATGAAAAGATTATTTTAATATAGAGGTCAATAATAACAAGACTGGAATTCACTGTGACTTTCTTTGTTTTCTTTATTCCAGTTTTCAACACGTTCTCTTGAACCGTCTTTCGGTCTACTGTTCAAAGACCTACTGGATGATCTCGGTGTACATACGACCGGGGCCTCGGTCATCGCCAGTACTCTGGATTCGGTCGTTAACTTCTCAGGGTTCTTTGTGGGACCAGTTATAAAGACCTTCTCATACAGAAAAGTTTGTTTTGTTGGCTCCCTGATATGTGCCTTGGGACTTTTATTTACAGCGCCAGCCAACAGCATGGGTCATATTTTAGCTACATATAGTATTATTGGAGGTATGTGTTAATATTATATTATTAATAAATTAATGAATGTGTATTCAAAATTAACAATAGCTATAATGTTTGTCTCTACTCAAATTTGAATACACATTTATTTTTTTTTAGTTTATGACTGATTTATTTGAATTCCTCATTACTTTTTTATCTATTTTAAATACGATCAGAAAAATAATATCATATCAATTGAGTTATAGTAGGTACTATTGATTGTAACTAAATGAACATTGAAGATCTTTACGCTGACTTATGTGTTCACTTACTTCGTTAAGTACTTAAACACATAGTTTTTAGTTTTCAATTTATATAATATCGTAATATGACTCGTTTTATGTCTATATTTCGTTTGGAGATGTAGACACACGTGGCAGGGATAGGGGTACTTTGAGCTTATTGTATTCCCGCTGTATGCATTTGGCCCTCGGATGTATTAATAGTCAATGCCTACTTCAGTGGGGATTCTCCTGACGACCAATTATTTCATATCTTTTCAAATATTCAGAATGTGATGTTAATTATCCGGATATTTTTTTTTATTTGATTCAAATAAGAAAAAAAAGATATTATATTATGTTACGATACATTAGAAACAATCGAAAAATATTTATAAACTTAGTAATTTTCAATATATCATTTTTACTAAACTTTTAATATTTTTATCGTCTGCATTCCTTTTAGAAATAAACTTTTTTTCTATTATTTATACTGTTTAATTCGTAAGAATTATTTTCTTATCAATATGATACAGCAAAAACCACTCTTTATCTAAGTTAATTCTAATGAAGTCCCTTGTGAATTTCGTGAAAAGGGTCCGTCCTTGTTATACATATTTCCATATTTCATGAGCTGTTATTACATCATAGGAATAAATTACTAAGTAATATATTTATATATGGAAAACATTATTTGTTATAAATACAAATATTAATCTAATATTTATTTGTACTTTATCTTTCTGTACTTAAATTTCGAATAATATAAGATCTCTAGATTTCAAACCTGAAAATTTCATACAAATAATTTTAAAAAGTCGATTGAAATTACATTTAAAATCGTTTTTCAAATTAAATAATCGGTAACAAGCACATTAAATCCTGAGGAACTCTATAGCCTAGTCATAATGTTGGAATAATTGTTTTACTAATAATAATTGCTTATAGAAGCAGTCTTGTTATTGAACTGGAATAATTTTGTTTCATTTCCACAAGATTTTTCTCATCCGAGCGGATGTAACGAATCATCTCCATATATTTTTTTTGTAATTATCGATCTAATGGCTATAGCCTTGTACATATTATTTATAATATTCATGTCAGCATTTTTCTATTGGATATAACTTACATATAAATTTAATAAAATTAATGTGAAAACTTAAAAGAAAGATTGCGCAATATATTGTATGGGGAATTAAATACATTTTTTTAAACATACTGATCTTTTATTCTGTGACTCTGGAAAATAATGAGGCTAATATGTTTTATTTAAGGTTTCGGAGTCGGTCTTGCCTCGTCGTCGTCCTTCGTGTCCCTTAACCATTATTTCTCGAAGAAGAGAGGTCAAGCCGTTGGATTGTCTATGGCCGGGACTGGTTTTGGCCTGATGGTTATGCCGCAACTAGTAAAAATTCTACTTGGAGAGTTCGGCTTTAGATGGACTGTGGTCATTCTAGGAGGTTTGGCTTTCCACGCGGTCCTTGGTTCTTGTTTGCTACAACCTATTAAAAGACATTTGAAAGAGGAGCCTGTTGACTGTGAAATGCAACTAGTCAAGGTTGGTAAATTACTGGAACGCGCTATAGTGGAGGTTGCAGGTTCGAATCCTGCTTGTGTAATCCAATTTTTATGTTTTTGTACTTGAATGTTAACTAAAGTATTAGGTCAACAAAGCTTTAATATAAAAAAAATATATGTACATGAACAATTGACAAGTTATGAAGTTAGTTAACTAGTTATACGACCTTTACAACTGGTATTTTATAAAATTTCAGGAAATGGAGTGTATTAACGAAAGCGATGAGGAAGCGGATGATAAATTCGAAATAAATCCTCTAGTGAGTCATCCCATGCCCAAACTACCTAAGCAGCGATCCCATACAAACATGAACCATCCGTCCGTAAGAACCATAGGCCTGCCGAGGGCGAAAACCTACGACAAGCCGCTACAGGACTTCGATAACCAGAGTACTCCTGGCTTAACTACCGCCGCCTCCGTGGCTGCCATGCAGAGAGTTATATCAAGCGGGAGTATGAGTGAGGCTGTGAGAAAGAGGAAAGTGTCTGTGATATCAAATATATCCAATATGGATTTTACTGGAAGCTACCTTCAGTTGTACATTGATGTGAGATAATCATGAGAAACATTTAATTAATTATTTTTATATTCGAACATATTTTAAGTATGGATTATTTTCAGGCAGTCGATGAAGATACGTTACAAATGAAATCAATAAAGAAGAATGAACCCGAAGAGAAGAAAGTCGGTTTTATAAAGAAGTTCATAAGTCTTATGGATTTAGATTTATTGAAGGATTGGTCGTTTTTGAACCTTTTACTTGGTCTTTCTCTATTCTGGAGTGGGGAACTTCAATTTAGAATGTTGACTCCGTTCTTTATTAGGAGTTTAGGTTATACAATGAATGAGACTGCGTTTTGTTTGTCAATGACGGCTATAACTGATATATGCGTTCGTCTCGTACTGCCACCGATTTTTGATAGAACCAACATTACTAAGAAGATGATATTCTTTATATCCGCCTTCTTTTTGGCTGCAACGAGATCTGGTGAGTCGGTTTTTGTAAGACATTTATTTTAATTTTAAAAAATGTTGATCTAAGTAGACGAGAAAATTAAGCCTTTCCATTTTTATTAAGTCTTATCTATATTAAGTTCAAGAATGTAATTTTTTTTAATTAAAATATTTACATTATGAGCATTTACCCTTAAGTATCCTTCTTAATGAAAATCCTCTACTAGTTCTAGCGGAACAATCTGAATGGGTGCCGTTGATGATATGGTTGTCAATATGTGGTTTCTTCCGTGGCATGTGTCTTAGTAATTTCACTCTAACCATATCTGAATACTGTCCGTTGGAAAAACTGCCTGCCGCTTTTGGTCTGCACATGGTCAGCAAAGGTGTTTTTGTTGTCATTATAGGACCGTTAATTGGTAAGTAAAATTACATTCATAGTTGAAGATAGTCTAATGAAAGGGGAAGGGGAAAAAGGTTGATTTTTGGACGGATCATGATCTTGAACTAACTTTGTTAGTTGTACTCATTTAGATCGTAAAGTACAAAAATAAACCCTAGTTTATTATAAGTTATATTGCCTGCGACTGAAATCTTTAATCGATATATTGGCTTGTGAAAATAGTTGCTAGATTTTTATATTACCGATGATTTAACATAGATGCTAAAATTATTTAGAATTTAATACAATATTCCAAACCGTCGCATTAATGGGTAATGGCTGATGACCCGAAAATTACTGAGAATTTATACTATTAAAACCTAACCTAACCTAACCGCGAATAAACCGTATTTAATCTGCTAGTGTAAATCCAGCCTAGCTCTATCAATTTAATATCAAATAATTTTAAACTAGCAAACTAAGTGCCCATTTATTATTATGAAAAACAATAATGCTTAGTAATTGCTCACTCAGAATGGTTTCACGTTACCTGAATTAACAAAACTAATTCCATCCTTTCATATATAAAAAAGTTTTAAATCTATGAATAATCGCTCTTGGAGTCCAAATGACCTTTTGAAGTCCTATTCCCTGACTTCATATCACTTTGTATGTAAACCGTTAGTATAAAGCTTCCTAGTGATTAAAACTAAGATTTTTTCATTGGGTGGAACTAATTGCATCGGAATATTTGTCTGATATCCAGTAATTAATGTATTTAATTTTATTTTCAGGTTATGTAAGAGACTACACGGGCAGTTTCGCTACTTGTATTCATGTACAAAACGCCCTTATAATGTCATGCGTTCTCGTCTGGGGAATTGAATACGCGCTTGCATTCACAAGGAGACGGAAGGTTGTTCAAATATAGCTTTACATGTGGTACTTATTTTGATGAAATGTCTACTGTTTTGGATAGAATTCTACTCAAAGATCCTTACGTACGGAGTAGAATGAAAATGAGATTCGTTTCATTTGTGAATGATTCTACTTAATCAGAAGATTTCTAAGCTTATAGAATGACATTTAATTAATTAGATTTAGATGTTGAATTATTATCATTATGCTACTTAAATATTAATTTACTTAATAACATAAATACTAAACCAGTAGAAATTCCAAGTACAATGACATTTTATTGTTTTTGAATATTTTATTTTGGTACTTATTTTGAAGGAGTTTTTGTTGTCTTATTTTATTTTATTTAAAAAATGGACTTGCCTATTATAATGTGAAACAAGGCTGAGCCCATGACCTTATAAAATATAATTAATTTTTCAATAAATCCATTTTGTTAATGAAGCTCGATTAATATAAACTAGTACGTACTTTTTTTAAGATGATATATACATTTTTGCTTTCTAATTGAATATCTGGCGTAAGTCAATCATACTGTAAGTAGAAATATACTTAAAAGTTATAATGAAAATGATTTCAAACAATTTTTCAAGTATATACAATTCAAAATGCCAAATAGATTACTTTAGCACAAATCCTTGTATGAACTAAGCTCCTAAATGACAAGCAGTAAAATATAAATATTTAGAACATTTTTTATAGAAATCTGTAGATTTCATATTTTAAAGTTTTTTAGATATCTGTAGTTTTGAAATGTTTACTTACTTTTTAACTTTAGGACTTGAATAGACGTGTTTGAACTGCTGTATTACTAATTGTTGATGATTATTCGTTATTGTATAATGATAACAATTTTAAAATGATAATTTTTAGAAAATTTAGATTTTAAGAAATAAGTTTTATTCAAATGAGGTCGTAAGAATCCTTTTATATAACACATGCTGTAGATGTTTTTAGTATGGTACATGTATTACTTTAGCATTTTTTTTTTCATTATTATAAATTAGAGGAATTCCATAGAAATGTATTCATTAATTGGAATTGTCATTCAAGAAGAACTCTTTATTTTTGTATGTAAAAAACATTATTTAATAGGTCTCGTGACAAATTTAAACTTCCTGGCTAAAGCCCAGTATAAACTATAGTTATATTGTTTGTTCTATTATTTTACCAACGATTAACACAACAATTCTATGCCAAAAACAATATATGTGTGGTAGTCTTGAAATTGTTTAAATAAAATTTAATATCTATAGAAATTGTTCGACTAAACATTTTTTATCCCAATATTGAGTTTCGAATACATAGTTATAATCTGTATTGTGTACACTGGGCTTTATTTTTAAATGAAAGTTGCCAATATTTACTCCCAATTTCCTTTAATAACATTTACTTGTTTATATATTATGTTTACAGACTATTCTGACTTATTTTGAAGTTGTTTTGTTCTATTATAATAATTTGAATTTTGGTTAATCAGATTTGTTAAAAGTATAAATATTTTGTTATTTTTGACATCCTGTTGTCACAATAATCCTAACTTTTTGCTGTCTTCCAAAATGATTTAAGCTTCCAAATCATTGCTTTTGATATGTGATTTATGTGACCAAATAATATACCTAACTTTTGATAAAATCATTATTATACTTAAATGAAGCGTCTTAGAATGGTTCATTTATATTAATTATTTTATCTTTAAAATACATATAGAGTTATATTTGAATGAATTATTGAACATTCAAATATGTCTCTTTAATTATTTTTATGATTTTCCATTGTCTGTACTAAAAATGTAATAAGTAATGAAATGTGTGTGCCAATTGTATATAAAAATAATTGTACTGATTTATAACCAGCTTTCTATTCTCCTGTTATTCAGGTAAACTATCGCTTTTATTTGAGTATATGTGTTGGACACCATGGATCCATTATTTTTGTAGGTGTCTTAGACTGTGTAAGAAGACAAGTATAACTGTTAATTAACCTGTCAATATTAAATTAGAAGCTCTCTTGTGTAATCAGAAGTGTCAAATGTATGAATTATTTTTATTTTCTTTGTTATCAAGTTTTATTTGTATACAGTTTTATTGTATAGAGTGTGGGCCCCGAAATCTATTTTCACAGTATTATGGTCCATAAAGTAGGGATGTTTTGTTCATAATAATATCGAAAAATATATCAATGGCCCTAAATTTGATTCTCATAATTTCATATATTTGAACCCTTCATTGTTATCTGTTAATCAAAGAACGCTGTCTTAGGGGCCCAAAGATAAATAATTAACCAGCATTTGTTCCAATTAGAATTCTATTAATCCTTATATATTACGTAGATTATATTAAAGTTTATTTTTTGACTAAAGGGCCTTGTTACAATTGTAGAAATTAAATATTTTTGATACAATCATGAAATATGTATGTATAACATATCATCTGATCTTGACATTATACTTATATCAACGTCATGTGATGGCGTGAATATTAGAATTCTTTAAATACATTATCGTATAAAATATATATTTTTTCTTTCACACATTATGTTCAGTGTGTATAGTACAAGTTTTCATTGTCACATATATGTACGAAGAATTTCCCGTTTCTCATTTAAGCTGCCATGAGGCAGTTATGAAACTATGACGGTGATTTATGAATGGTAAACTGTAAACGCTATGTTATGTGACAATGTCAGTTCGGACTAAACGTACATTCTAAATATTTATGTATGTTATGTTGTAGTACTGCATTTGTTTAATTATTATTATAACATGGAAAGTAACTATATTTTTTTGTGTATGAATGACTGCAGAGATGACATGAAAATTTTAATCTTGACTTTTATAAAAAAATAATATCTAATAAAGTACTTATTGGTTACCGATCTCTTGTTTCATTTATGTATCTCTATACAGAGTTTGATTAATTGGAAAGAGGTTGCGATTTTAGGAAGACTTCATAAATTTTGGCAGTTACATATTTCATAATTTTTTTATAATAAGCTTTTTTCATAAAAATGATAAAATAATGAATTAAATACCTCGTTTTTAAGAGTTAAAATTGTTTTTAAACTGAGAAATTAAGCAATATGTAATTTGATTTTCAATTTAATTAGTTTTAACTTTGTATATGCTATGTGAGCGAGTTCAGTTTGTTAACAAATATTTTTCCATTCACCGAAATTATTTAAATTTTCCATTTTCAATTAACTGAGAAGATTAATTCGTAATTTTATAGATATAGACATCAAAGATTTCAAGCTAATAATCAAAAGGTGGACAGTTCTAAAAAGCATATTTTATGTACTCATTAGGTATTCATGATAAGCTATTTATATGGAAATTTCAAGAAAATACGTAATGTAGGATATGACCGGTAGGTCAAATACCAGTGTATCGAAAAGTCATTACCGATTTTTCTAACAGATGTCGCTTGACTTAAGTTTGCAATGAATTGAATGAATGAATTATGATTTGAAACATGCATTTTATTCTACTGATATACATTTTACGAAAGTTACACCGCCTTAGATTCTTGAAAACGTGCATTTGCGGCAGGCGTTACTTATTTAATCAAAAGAAAAAGGAAGTGAAAGTCATGGTTTGCTGGTAGAAACTTACAGTGACCTCTTACTTTAAAAACAATTGAGGTGTGGTTTCTAAAATTCAAAAGTGAAAGTTAATAAATTTTTGGTAGGTACAACTACGTATTTGGCAAATAAAAATAAATTATGACCGATATTTTAAGGAAACATCAAAATCATTACTAAAAAAGTTTTACACTAAACTATAAAAAATTGTTCATTATTTTAATAATGCTTGAAGTGTAATCTAGACCTCTTTCTTTGCTAACTTTGAATCGAAATAAAGTGTAGTCAAATAGGAAGTGTCTAAAATCTTTGACAATTTCTGTATTTATATTCCAAAAGTACTGTATGATGCAGACCTAACAGGTCTGGTCATGCAAGACAATCATTACTCTATATCATTTTCTTTCTATTTATAAAAGATATGAAAATTGTTATATTCAGAGGTGGTAGAGCGGGCTGACTCGACCGGATAAGTGCCACCCTCTCCCAGAAGATCGGCGTGAAGTAACCTTTAGTGGTTGCGTTTCATCCAATAAGTGAGAGAGCCGGTTGCCCTTTCCCTATTCCCTCCCTTTCCTCCTATTTCCCTTTTCCCACCCCTCCCTTTTTCTCAACAACCAAGGTTGGCAATGCATCCGTAACATCTATTTTGCGGATGAACATGGGCGACGGTCAGTATGCCTATCAAGTAGGCCGTCTGCTCCTTTGCCACCTTTGACATAAAAAAACATTGAAAAGCATTCCATTGATATTTCCCCAGTTTTTTTCCATATGCCGGAAAATTCCCGACCCCTAGTATTTTAGATATATAGGTAAAGGTGACATAATCTCTCAATCGCACGTTAATTTTATTGGGGTATCTAAGTATTACCTTATAAAATCGTATGGAAAAAAAAGAGCTGTTAATCTTACACAATTCTCATTAGATAATACAGCTGGACAATTTGATAAATTACTTGGGTTAGTATTATGATGTGATCCACATATTATAGACAGAATAATGAAATTTCCAAGTATATGACTGCTTGTTTTGTTATTGAGTACTAAAACAACAGTAAAATATTTGGTTTATTTGAAGAAACCCCTATCTAAAATTTAGGGAATGTGTTATATCGCTCATCAAATAATTCTTAACTCGGTGAAGCCACCTTTTTGAGTTAAGTGCGAACTAAGAAAACGTTTGAACTAAACAATGGGTCTCGGTTTTTTTTACGACATTTCTGATTTATTATACTACCTTATTTATTACATCCTTTCATTTCGCCCGACGTCTCTTTTACTTTGCAGCAACCGTGAACACGGGCAGAAGTCATGAAATTACAGTCAGTTTTGTTTTTTGCCACCTACATCTTATTTTCTGGCGTACTGCTATGGACGCCATATTCCCATTTCTGAAGAGTTCCACAACCAGAATAGGAATAATATTGAAAG